ACACTGTTGAATTGTTAAGCAAATATATTAATATCATTTATTTGTCTGTGACGATATTATTGAATTGTTAAGCAAGATATTATATCACTTATTTGGCTTTGAAGATATCGTTCAATTATTAAATTGTTAAGTAAGATATTATATCACTTATCTGTCTTTGAAGATATCGTTCACTGATTAAAATAACATTAATATGATATATTGAATAAGTAAATATAATATTAATAAAATATATTAAATAAGTAAATAAGCAAATATCTTTAAATCTTAAAAAACTTAATTTATGTTTGAAGATATTATTTAAAAACATATAATATCTTTGAAGATATTCAACTTGGAGCACTAGATCAATAGATTTCATATCATGAATTTTTAATAAAGTTTTCCATTTGAAAGAATAATTGATTGATCAATAAATTTTGCTTAATGAGTGGGTAACCACCTCAAGACTATTATAATAATAAGATAATATTTAACTTCTATAATTAAATTAAGGATATAATATTGATCAATAGATTTTGCTTAAAGAGTTGATAACCAACTCAAGATTTTTAAGTACACAAAAATAATCATAACATAAACCACGTGTACCAAATCAAAACATAAACTATTATAAACTAACATAGGCTACGTGTATCAAGTCGAAATCTATAAATTAGTTTATCGTGTATAAGTTAATTGTCTTTGTAAATTTTTTGCATTACGTGTACCAAGAATAGGCGAGACTTCATTAATCGGAGATTCGCCGAAATATTTATCCCAGAGGGCATGAAATTTTTTGGGAATGTTTTCATACTTGAACAATAAGTAAAATGAACAAACATTATCTTACCATAATCTACTGGTATTTTTTCTTTTATTGGTGTCTCTATAATTTTTTGACGAATTAAATTATGATTATTAAAATCTAACGGTTGATCAATATTAAATTTTGATAGTACATGATTAAATTGTTCATCAATAATTCTATTTGGATATTTATTTAATAATAATGCCATTCGTAATTTTTCACGTTCATTCAAATAAACTTGAAAGGTTGAACAGTATCTAATAGTACGAAGAAACATAGTAAAGATTATATTTTTCTTCATATGTAATGGATGTATACTATTGAACGGCAAGTAATATGGTTCATAAGACTGCTTTTGATAAACTGTCGTAAATAGCTGACCATCTTGATTTTCCATATGTAAGTCAAGAAAATCAGCAGTTGAACCAATATTTTCTGATAATTTAATATTTTCATCAAAGTGATTCCATCTATCGATTTGTTTAAATAAATATCGAGCAGGCCAATTAATTACTATAAATATGTCATCAATATATCTAAAATATAATTCACCGCTATTATTAATTTGCTTTATAATTTGTTGTTCATCGAAGAACATATAACAATTAGCAACAGTTAATATAAGAGGAGAACCCATTGCTCCTCCACGAATTTGATGATAATATTGACCATTATAAGAAAAATAATTATTTTGCATAACAAATCGATTTAATCTAATTATTGTTTCAATTTTGAGACCACCGACTTGTTTTAATTTTAAATGATCTAACATTTTCTTTAACGCCAGTACTCCTTCGGTTTGTGGCACCATTGTATAAAGGTCTGCTACATCAATTGTACAAAATAAAGTTTCTTGACGCATATTATCTTTCGACCATTTTTGCAACTGTTTAACTAGTTCAAAA